GACAGGAGAATATTTGCCCGAATGCCTCAGAAAAGGCAACACCACACAGACGAGGCAGGAACAGTCTCCGTGCAGGACAGACCCGCCTGTTCCCACAGAAAGAAGAGCAGACTACAACTCATACCCCTCAGAACCCAAGAACTAAGGCAAAACAAACCAAAACCCCAACACAGACTGGTGAGTATGTCTGTGTCTGTATGTGAGTTGGCTCACATTCAAGGTAGAGCTGCACAATATATTGTTTGTATCATTTTTAAAATATTGACTTTAGTGATATCACCAAGGCTTGGAATATGTGAAAGAACTTTCATTCAAACTAAATGTTTTATTGTGTGCTCACACAATTGCAACGTAAATAATTTAAGTCAAATTAATGCCAGCCAGTCTTTCACCACATCACAATAAAGGTTCACTGATAATGTTTTAATATTATATTGCAACACATAGGTGTACAATTATGGTCTTAAGTGTTTGTAATTGTGTGCCTCCTCAAGCTGCTGTAGACAGTCCTTCAGGTCGCTGGGGCCAAACACTCTGTCAAATTGACCCCCAGACAGCCATACTGATTGGAGGGCAAGGTGCCAGGATGCAGTTTTGTAAGGACCCCATTTGGAAGCTGTGTACAGGTGAGCTTTCTAAACCCTTTTTTCTGTACTGTCCATCCACAGTACAATAATGTACAGTCTGCTTGGATATTCATTCGTCTTCAGACAAGTATATTTGTAGACAAGTTTTAACTTCCCTCTGATCTCCTAATCTTCTTCTTTAGAGGACCTGTCATGGGTGCCAGCAGAAACTCTGGCAGAGGGCCCCACACCAGAGGCCCGGATTGGTCACACAGCGACCTATGACCCAGAGTCGAAGCGGATCTTTGTGTTTGGCGGCTCCAAACACAAGAAATGGTTTAATGATGTCCATATTCTGGATACACAGAGCTGGCGGTGGACTATGGTGGAGGTAAACTGGAATAATTTTAATGCAATACTTTTTATGATTGTACTATTTAACTTTTCAACTAACACTTTATGCTGGATGCCTATATATTTTTCATTGAAAGTGTAGTTACAATACATAGCCAGGCTAATTTGCTTGTCTGTAAATGTAGTCCATAGGGTCAGTTAAAAAAAACAACAAAAAAAAAAAAAACTAAAATCTCTAACTCTTGCCTTCTTAGGCACAAGGTAAAGTTCCTCCTCTGGCCTATCACAGCTGCACATTGTTCAGGGGAGAGCTCTTTGTGTTTGGAGGGGTATTTCCCCGCCCCCACCCTGAGCCTGATGGCTGCAGCGACTCTCTCTACATCTTCAACCCTGAAATGGCCATCTGGTACCAACCTATTGTCAACGGAGACAAGCCTGCTCCACGCTCTGGGTGGGTGTGAAATTGAGGAATATAAAATCAAGTAAAGTTGAAATTAGACTTGTACAATAGCATGAAGCAGATATTATGTTGAAGAATGACTGTGAATCACCTCAGTATAGTAAATAAAAAGTGACCATTGTATATAATGTTTACCTCACTGAAAAACAGGAGAGAAATGAAGGAAAATGATTATGATCATTTAAATTTAGTTTTTGTGATTTTCAGAAAAGGTTGTTCATTTTATTTATTCGCCTTCTTGTCTAGGCATTCTGCTTGTGTGATGCAGGGCAAGATCTTCATTTTCGGAGGCTGGGACACTCCTGTCTGTTTTAATGACATGTTTCAACTGGATCTGTGTAAGCCCTATATTTTGATTTCTTATTTTGTTGCCCCCTTGTTGCATTTGGTTTTCATTGTGGGGACATTAAAGGGACACTCTGGCCTGAAACTAGCACTTCATGTTATTTATCATGTTATGTAATATTCACTTGCACAGCATTGCATCCCTCAGCCACATCAGAATCCACAGTTTTGTGTTCTTTTTGTGTTTTCGTCCATCAGTGTTTTCTCACTACAGTACCATGCATGCAATACACAAATAAGTTATACAACCATTGCAAATCCCAAGCAGCAATATAAAACTACTGATGTAATGACTAATAAACACAAATGATAGCTTATTAGCAGTAATGTTATCTATCTGGCTTCTTTGTACATTAGCCCATTGGGGGGGCATTTGCGTCTTTATATTCTCACACTGGCAGCTTTATTCTTAGAACCATGTAATGGCTGAAGAAATCTTTTCGCTGACCAAAACCATTTACTTCTTTTTCAACCAACTGGGATTTTTGGGTTAATATAAAATCATAATTTTTTAGGCTTGATGGAGTTTTCAGCAGTGCAAACAAGTGGATCAGCTCCCTCGCCAAGAAGGTACTCGTACTGTTTGAATTTTCTGCTCAGAACGTAATGATCCTGGAACACCTAATTTACATTATCAGTCATTGCTTTATGCTATTGAACTAATTACTGCTTCATATTTAATGATGCTGTTACCCTCTATGACTAGCTTAAAATGACTTTCATCTTTTGTTGTAACATTATTATTTAAGCCATTACTCAGCTGGATTGGTTTAGAGGATGTTCTGTTTGACCCTACTGACTCACCTTAGAAATCTTGACCATCTGACCATAATTTCACAGCTGGCACGGCTGTGCTGTCCTGTCTGATTCCCGTTTCCTGGTCCATGGAGGCTACAATGGGAATGATGCATTGAGTGACACGTTTATCTTCAACACAGGTGAGCATTGTGGTCTGCCCCACCGACATATGCTCAGACCGTAATTGGCCTTAGCAGCGTGCATGTTGACGTGGATCAGAATTTTAAAGCCATGCAGATTTGCTTCAAATTGAACACTAGCTCTCTTGTAGCAGCCAGTGCTCTGATCCCTAGTCTCCACTCTGTTTCATCCAACTGGTCTTCCAACTACCAACTACAGGGCCGTTATTTATCAGCAACATAAACTACACCAAACAATTTATGAAACCCAGTTGAGGTCATCAGCTCAGCCACAAACCAAGCCCAAAAATACAACATGCAATGAATGGGTACACAAAGACAGAATTACTTACTTATGCCCTCGTATGCTTTGCAGTACTGAGTCAGTACATCTGTACTGAGACTGTTTGTCTGTGACTCACTGAGTAAACTGGTTAGAGAGGAAATGTATCAAGTACTCAGGTTGCAGTAACTATTAGAAGCTGCATTGGTCAGCTTATACTTCTAGTGGCTACGGCTTGAAGATCAGCACAGAAAATTGGCACAACACCTTTTGAGTTTTTTACAGAAACACAAGGATGGAAACTTGTGCTCATCTATGCACATTTCTGATTTTTACATTAAATTCACTTTTTATAAATGTGATTTTTCCACTTTACAATCATATCTGTGTGATTTTTAAATAAGGCCAAGCTTGCACTGGATTTTGTAATGTTGATCTTTTAAGGAAAGCATTGTTTCTTCACCACTGGCATTTTTTTTCTTATATAGATACAAGCTGCTGGACCTCACTGACACTCCCTCAGCTAACATCAGTGCCACGAGCTGGACATTCCATCATCACCATGGCAACAGCATGCACGAAGGTACCTCGCACATCCTGGAAATCCACAGAAAAGGGATTTCACTTAAACCTTTAAAGAATATGTTTGTATAACAACTCCAGATGTTGTGTTTTTTTTGGGTTCCACATATACATTTTCTTCAAAACAAATGGGGTCTTGCATTATTTGCTTTCTTCTATCACAGGATTCCAGTGATGAGCAGGAGGAGTTTTCAGAGTCTTCCCCACAAACCATGCTCATATTTGGGGGAGGAGACAACGAAGGCAGCTTTTTCTCTGACTTAATCACTATGCCAGTGAAGGATGTGTGTGAATAAGGCTGAATGTTTTAAATGTTTTGTGTGTTTTTGTTTCTTTTGTGTATTGTGAATTTTATGCTATTATTTTAGAAGTTGTCATCCAGTTATTGTGTTTTACACTCTGATGTGAAAATTAACCTGTTGGAGCCTGTTGCCCATTGAGTTGAATAAAAAGTTGTATTTATCTCTGTTATGAGTGGAATAGTTGAGGTTGGAGGTGGTTGGATCCCTGGGTGTTTCAACTAGAATAACTAGCTATAAATAGAATAAATGTTATGGAAAACCAAAGTGGCTTTTCTGATCCTGTTCTGGTGACAACAGCTGCAAGACATTTGTTTCATTCGAGTTTGCAAGTATTTCTTTTCAAAGGTGTACATAATCATTAAAATATCATTTTAGTGTGGAAAGAACTGCATTGTTGGGGCATTATTTGTGGTGACTGCAAAGTTCTTTGTAAAAAGAAAATTCTGTTCTGTTGCTTCAGGGTGTTTTTTTTTTTATTTCAGATTTCTAATTTAGCACCAACTTTTCTCATTCAGGTGATTGTTTTTGCCTCATGTCTGTATGATTTTAGACCCCTTTAATAACATGGGTGGGTGATGTAGAAAAAATAAAATGAGACATTTTCATTGTATGTGATTTGTATCGTATTTTTCTGAGGTTTACGAACAAGTTACATAAAGCAGACATTTAAAAAGCTATAGAAAAAAACTGACCTCTGGTTCCTATCATCACCTTGTTTAAGGTTTACAGTAAGACTCCGCAAGTTTCTCTTGAAAGGTGCATTTTGCATCAAACCAACCTGAGTTTGTATACATCATGATTTAACTTTGCAGAAATTTTGGAAAATAGATGGGATTCCCCTTTATTTTTTTAAGATAACTACAGTTCAGTTTTCTCTAAGTTCTGATGATATACCTGACATCCTCAGGAAAGCACATCATGACGTAATTTATCACGATAACGATAATATTGTCATATTGTCACCCCGCTAAGAGCTGTGATGGTCCTCGTAAGCCAGCTGCTCTGTTCTTTGTACTGGGCGAGGGCCGCTTGGTGTCAGCCGACGCCCGCAGTCTAGCGGTGAGTAACTTACCGCAGTGTGTTCTTGAAGGCGGTGCTGCTGCTGTGTGTGTGTGTTTACGATCCCTGCCGATGGAGGCCGAGCTCCTCTCTTCACCGCCCCTCGATGTACGTCGGCCGGCCATGTTGCTTTGCCTGTTCCGGTGTCTCTCGCCTGATTGAGCCTGGCGCTCGGACACCGCGCCTCACAAGTCAGCCTGACCCGCTGTCCCTCGTCCTCGGTACGGAAGATTGCCTCTCAGAACCGTGACCATCATGGATTTTACAACCTGACCACTCTGGATGTTCACCATGAACAGTAGTTAGCCACTTTGCCCTCACGCGTCGTCCCTTTTTCCTTAATGAGGAGCGACCGCTCTGGGATCAGGATCAGGATCAGGACTGTGGAGGGACGCGGTCTCCGCGGAGCTGCTGCTGCTGCTGAGGTGTTTTTGGGGGGATTTGCCCATTGGAAAGCTAAGCTAGCTGACTAGCTAGCTAACATTGTGCTAGTCCTTGCCTGCATTAGCTGGCTCACTTCCACCGCACACCACAATAGTTGGATAGCTAAACCAACGTAGCCAGCCAACTACACAAGCTTATGACACTGCTGTTCCGTTCTTCACCTTTATTTTCCACTCCACCGCTATCGGTTTCGTGCGAGGGCGCGTTTATTTGTTAGTACCCGTCATTGTCTTGTGTATTTTCCGCAGCGAGTGTCAAATTAGCTGGTTAGCTAATCCCGGTCGGCCTGACATACTTGATTTTTGCCATTGAGGTGCCAGAAAAGCTTCACAACAGCTTGATTTTGCCTCACAGTCAAGTCTTTTTAGCCATTTTTGAGAATGGGTGCTGTAGTCATTTTTCTCTAAGCACGTTATCGTTATTGTGCTTTCAGGCATACTGAAGTTACTCAGCCTGATACTGAGCAAAATCCACTCGCCCTGCCACAAAACCTGTACAATTAGCTTAATAACGTTAGTCGCTGGATTTCATTCAGGGAAACCGAGCCGTTTTTTAAAGAACGGGCAATTACTTGGCTGTGCTAATCTAGCCATCAGCTGAACTTTTGATTTTTATCCTCCTTCACTGTTGACATGGACTAATGTGGGATTCAACTTGTTGATCTCTGTCTGCGTGGCTGGCTTTGCTGGCGAGCTAGCATTTAGCTAACAGCTCATTGGGATCCCAATCCTCTCTTCTTCCTTGACCAGCAGCCGGGAACAACGAACAAAATCTCTCTGAGCCTCAGTGCTAAATGTGTGTCTGACTCTAGAAAAAACTCTTTCCCTCGGATCCGTTTCTGAGAATCCCTGACCAAAAATGTCTACCCGGACTCAAGGATTAAGTGTCATAGAAAATTCCTCTGGCCAGGTGAGACTCAAAAGCTCATTCATATTCATAGTATTCATATTCCGCTCATTACACATAAGCAAATCCATTTACATACACAGCAGTATCTCAGAGTTTGATCAGAAGACGTGTCCCTCAGTGTGGATCATGTTGCGTCTGAACTAAGCTTGTATACTGTAAATGTACACTGGACCCAGCAAGTAAGCTTGACAGGTTACCCGTTAATATTGAAGTAGTTTGTTTTTCTACAGTCTCTCTCACTGGCAGCCTTTAAATCTAGAGGGTCTTAAAACTCCCTGTCAAACTAACAAATGTGTCAGCCAGTCTAGCCTTCGTTTCGCTGCAAATGCATTTACACTGGTAATTTGTCTCCTCATCATTTAAATGATCAAGTAAGAAACATGGAGTACCTGAGGAGAATTTTAGCAGTCCCAGATCAGGGACTCCACTAAGACTCGTGTCAGTCTCAGAGGTGTCTTTGCTTGTGTCAGTCTCAGAATTGACAAAGCTTCTTATCAGACAGTTTTTTAAAATGAAATGAACTTGAGAAACATATCAGCCACCACAATCACAGGTGTCTCTCTTTAGGGCTGGTTTCCCTGGAAGGTGATTAGTCTTAGTCATGGACTATAGTTTGCCTTTCAGTGTAAATTAAAAGAGCCCATTCAAAGTCCTGTGTAGTCCAGGACTAGGCTCAGTCCTTGACCAGGAAACGGGTCCTTAGGCTCATTTTCCTTTATCTAGATTATGCTTAATCCTATTCAGAAAAGGCTTTTCAGTGGCAAGTCACCATTCGTGCTACAAATTAGTCCTAGACTAAGGCTTAATCTGTGTCCACCAAACTGGGCCTAGGATTCATTCTCTCTGACCCAGATTGAGACTATACCTAGACTAAATAGGATCTTTGATGGTAAAACACTGTTCACATTGCGGTTTAGCCCAAGGCTAAACTTAATCCATGTGCAAAGCACTCATTTTCTGTTTTCCCCTGCATCATCCCATTTTTATCTCCAGTCATGTTACAGCGTCATAAAACAAAAGGTTTCAACATTTCCTGCATGGAATTTGAACTAGAGGCGGAAGGAGAAGCATGTCTATGCTCATTGATTGCTAATGCAAGTATGACTAATACTGACTGAAGTGAGAGATGTCTGACCGGAGGTAAGCTGTACCTGAGCGGGCATTTAGCTCAGGGATTTAACAAGGAAAGCGCTGTAGGTCCATTTTTTTTTTCTCTCATATTTCTGGGAATCTCACTCCAGGTGCTCTCAGTCCCAATTTAAGGCGATCTTGTGTGTCTTGTTTAATCGAGGTTCAACGTGAGAAAGATGAGTCAGTGGTGTTAATCATGCAGCTGAAATGTGGGTGAGCCTCAGCTCCATGAGAGGGAGGAGTGCTGTAAAATGTGTGATTATTTTGCATCATCCATCAGTGGTGTATTCAGGAGCAGGTTGATATGAAGGCTATTTTTTGTTTCTCTGCAATCTGAATGTAGGGCAGATGTTACACTTTGAGGAAGATGACTCTCTACATCTGTTTATTCTTCTTTGCAACATATTGAACCCTGGTGTGGTGTTGTGTAGTTGTGTGTTCAAACCAAATTATTACATGTGAAAGTATACTTGGGGGAGAAAAAGCACAGAGGGGTGCTAGTGTTGCTGTTATTTCAGGTGAAGGCCTCTCAAACCTGTCCATTGTGTGGTTAATTTTATAGTTCTCAGAAATTCTCGATCTTGATCCCAATACATGAACAAGTGGTCTAGCCATGTCATTTGCCACCGTTGCTGTGTTTTCTCCTGTTGAGATGTAATATCACAGGCCACTGTTATCAATCACTTAGCCTTATTCACATCATAATATTGCCTGAACTTTTTACACCAATTAAGTGGAATGAGCCCTCCCTTCCTGGAGGATAATGAAGGTGTTAGTTACTAGTTATTACTAGATATTTAGTTATTTTCTTCTAATCTAACTGTCTAATGAGATGTATGCACTACTTTTAGTCTTCTGCCATGGAAAGTGTTTGCAACCAGTCACTGTCACTTTGTTTACTTTCACAGAAAAGAATTATAAATATTTTTATGTTCAAGGCTATCAAATTGTTTATTATGATTAGGGTCATGTATGCAGCATGTGTGCAGCAGCTTTATTGTATGAAATCTTGCATGATGCAGGCTTCACAGCACGTTTCAAACAGAGAACAGCACACTAGGCAAAAAAGTGCTCAAATGCCATTTGGAGGCATCTCCTCCATTATGTTTTTTCTCTCTCCACCCAAAAAGGGATTCTTCATGGGTCCATGGAAACTCAAAACACCATTTGAATGCATGGTTAAAAGTTGTTTTGTTCTGTTATGGCGAAAGAATATATAGAAGTCTTTAAATGCCTGTTGTTACAGGTTACAGCTTTTTTGGGTACTATTACAGAACCCTTTTTTGCTAAAAGAGAGTGTAGGTTTACTACATGTTTGTACATTTAAAAACATTGCACCCAGTTTTCACTTGTACATACATGCTCACACATCTAAATGTATTCAAAGATGTCGATGTGGTTATGCTTTCATTGCTATTTCTGAATGTGTGCGTATCAAGATGACTTTGTTCTTGATGTATTGCTGCATCTATATACTGATCGCAATCCTTGTTTTCGTAGATTAGTAGTGGATAATATAACTTAAATGACAGAATTATGATGTTGAGCAACGAGAAAATTACACTAGTGCAGAACTGTATGGGTTTCTCTTGTTTGATAGGTTATGCAAGGTAACTTGTGTACAAAAATTAAGCTTACATTTATCCTTTAAAGGCTTTTATGTTGAAAACCTCACCAAATAAATCGACCAAAAACCAAGTATATACTGAACTACAAATGATGTTAGTAGCAGCATGAAATTAAGTTTGCCTGCTCCAATAAAGGGCTGTGCATACTGTTTGTATGTCAGCACTTCAAAGAAGCCACATAAAGCGAGACTATTGCCAGGCCTGCCAATAGTAAAGTAACCAGCATGGTCTAGTCCAAATTCACTAAGAACTAGGCCATAACAGGTTTTAATTAAAGCTTGTGCTGTCATGGACTGCTGGTGGAACTTGATTATGCTGGGATATTCCTAGCTAGTTAGCTACTGAACTTTTAGTGACAGCCCATATTGCTTATTAGTTAATCATTCTACTGCAGTGGTTCTTATCCCTGGTCATGAAGAACCCTGTCCTGCATAATTTAGTGCTTTCCTTCCTCTGATACACTTACTTTAAGAAAGTGCTTGTTATTTAGCTGATTAGATGGATCAGGTGTATTAAGAGCAGGGAGAATGCTAAAATATGCAGTACGGGGGTTCATGGCAAAGGATTGAGAACCTCTGATCTACTGCTGTTTATTAATAGCGTGGACAAAAACACAGTGAGATACTGACAAGAGAACCCACATAAGCTTTCTTTCCATAAAATGGAAATTTGAGCTAATGCCTTTTTAAAGTTTATGGGCAAAATTATACTACTATCACACATGTTTTCTAAGCATTCTTGGACTGTTGTTGGGTCTGATTGATTAAAACTGGATATGGATACTTCGTTGGACCTGTTTCATGCTAGAAGCTGTCAGTGCAAATCATCAGTCACTTTCAGCTTGAATAATCATTTGTGATTTTGATAATCTGGGCCAAAATCTTATCAGCTAAACGTGGCAAAATGGTGATGAATATGATGAAAATAATCCTCTGGATATCGTCGTCTGAATCAGCGTTGATTGTCTCACTGGTCACCATGCACATTTGCTTCTACATGTTCATATAGCTGTAGGATATGAAAAGTAGGAACAGATCCTAGATCATCACTTTCATAGCGAGAAGTATGAGACATATGGGCCCCTTCTGTTCAGCATGGTTGAGCCCAGGGTTGATCTTTTGCCATAGTGAGATTAAACTGTCTCTGTAATCTGTAAAAAACAGACAAAACTGCTATCTCACACATAATTCTGTCACAACAAGAAGACCAGGACATCAGTGGTGTTAGGTTCTGGATGATGATTAAAAATCGCCTGTTCATCTTTGGTCTCTCAGTTTGATCTTCCATCATCTATTTGTAGTTGTAATTCATTCGTTTTCATCATTTCTCTGCATAGATGAGAAGGTGTTGAGATAGTGATACTACCTGCATTCTGTTATGGTCATTTGCAAAAATTCGAAATGTTGCCATTTCGACTAGCCAGCATCAGCATCATGTTCCATGGTGAGATATAAGAGTTAGAACTTGGAGGTATAGAAAGGTGGGATACCAGTTATGATACACCAACACAGTGTCCTTGACAGACTTGATTCATGTTTCATTCACATTTTTTATTGCTCTGTAAAGAGAGGCAAAAGATGATGAAGCGAATGTTGAGTGATCAGGTGAGATCAGAGGTTATTGGTTGTAAAACTCCTTTTGCCTTCCAGTGTGCATGTGAGACAAAGAGTAAGTGTCTTTTTCTAAGGCTTTGTTCTGACAGGTAGCTCAAGTCCAATGTCCGATTTGAGCAGGAAGGTTTTTCTGCAGTCTGAACAGCACAAAACCACATGAAATCTGTTGTATGTGGTTTTAAATTCAATTCAAATGTATCTCTAAATATTTCACTGAGTTTGACCAGTCAGATCTGACAAGTTACTATTTTTTGCCATTTGGCTCACGACACTTCTTACGGTCAGAATACCCTGGTCAGTTTAAGGACACAGGCTTTGTTACTATGAGAGTCAGTGTGGATATCCAACCAAATGCAACTAGACTCTGAACATACTTATCGAATTCACTCACTGGCAACTTGTAATGTGGACACTAGGTCTGAAAATCTGATTTAAGAAACACATCTGATTCACATACAACGTGAACACCTGGAGACACAGAAGCATCTTTTTTTGCTTTTAATTGACCATCCAAAACCAAAAATGAGAGAAAACTATCAGGGCAGGTCACTTCTTGTGATCCTTTACTTTGGTGGGTCCTAAGTTTGTGGACGTGCAAAATCATTGCGATGTTATGGGTCTAAACTTT